TGGGTAAATAATAATATAAAAAAATTATTTATTAACAAAAATATAATTGATATAATCTTTAATACAATAAATTTCGATTTTTAGTTTTTGGATTTTTAAATATTTTCAAAAAAAAAATGATAAAAAAAATGAAGAAAAGGAAAAAGGGAAAAATGCAGAAAAAAATTGAAAAGAAGATTGAAACAGAAGGAAATTAGAAGGTATAATTTCATTATATTATCATTGTCAAATAAATATTAATTTCTTAAATTTATTATTAATATTATTTATTTTTTTTAATTTTTGCAAGTTTTCTAATCATATAAATAATTAAATTAAAAATAAATATTCATTATTTAAATAATTTAAGATTAATAAATTAATAATAATTCTAATAAAAATAAAAAAATAATTAATTACAAATAAAAATAATAATGTAGTGATTAATCAATATTTAAATAATATAATTTTTTTTAAATGTTTAATTAAAATTTTTAAAAATTGAAAAAATACCCTCTTCAATATTTTCTGTTGAAGATTCCACTGTCTCCTACTGTCTCCTAATTTTTCTTCTGTACAATATTTACAAAGTTTAATTATTATTTGTTATATTAAAAAATATATTTTAATTTCTTATAATTTTTAATTACTAATTACTCATTATTAATTTTCACAACTATTTTATTAACAAATATATGAAAAAATAATAAATTATATAAAGATAAAATAATTTTAATAATTATAATTCAATTACATTTTTTAAATAATGAAATAATTAAATAATAAAAATAAACTTAAATATTTTATAGAAAATGGTTTCAATAAAAATGTTATAACATTTTTAATTTATATTAAAATTTAATTTTAACAAATAATAAAAGGTTATAATTATAACCTTATTTATATTTAAAAAAATGATGATAAATAATATAATTTTACTTTAATAAATTTAATTAATCAAAAGAAAATTTTTTTATTTACATTAAAAAAATTAATATAATTTAACTGAATAAACTTTCAAATAATTTTAATTATTAATTAAAATTATTTAAATAATTTAAGATTAATAAATTAATAATAATTCTAATAAAAATAAAAAAATAATTAATTAAAAAAAAATAATAATGTAGTGATTAATCAATATTTAAATAATATAATTTTTTTAAAATGTAATTGTTTTCCATTTCAGGGAATTTCAAAGAATGAACAATTTACGTGCACAGTACACCCCACGTGAATTTTACGTATCTCATCTACAGTATACCCCACGTGAACTGTATGTACCGTCTGCACCGTACACCCGACCTGAATTGTACGTACCTCCTGTACGGGTAGAAAACGCACCTCGTGTTTATAACCTGCCGGAAGAATACGCATCTCGAGCTCAGTACACTCCGCGCGAAGCTTACGCACCTCGTGTACAGTATAACCTGCCGGAACATTACGCATCTCGTGCACAGTACACTCCACAAGAAGTATATGCACCTCGTACACAATATGAATATATCCCACGTGAAGAATATTTTGGAATGAATGCACCACGTGCAATGCATCCAGCATTTGAAATTTATCCACAATGGCGATTAGGCAGGCAATAATTTAGAAGGGTATTTTATATAAAATAAATAATATAAATTAAATATAAAAAAATTAATTTTATATATTTATCAAAAATTTGTTTTGAGTTTAATAAAAAATTTATTAAATTCGAAATATAATATTTATATATTAATTAATTTACAAATGTAAATTTTTAAATTCAAATTTAATTTAATTAATCAAATATTTTTTATAGCTGTTCAATGAAGCGAGTGTTGATTATTAATAATTTGCAGAAGAAATTACTTTCGTTATTATTATTATTATTATTGAAGCAAATGAAAGTATTTTTATAATTAAGAATAATACAATTATTATTAATATTATTATTAAGAATAATATAGTTATTATATTATTTACTATATTTGTAATTAAAATTACATAATATTAATAAATTGTTTTAATTTGTTCAAAATAATTTATTTAATTTCAATAACAGAAAATTTATTTGATTTAGTTTTATATTTAGTAATCATTATTAATTCACTATTTTTTAAAAATAATCTTTTAAAAAAATATTTAAAAATTAAATTTGTTTTTTTATTAATTCAATCATTAAATATGATTTTGTTTATATTTTCAAAACAGAGTAACTTCAAATTGAATTGGAATTGATATATATTTATTTTTAAAAGAAAGAAAATTAGAAGTTTTTATGGAGGGTACGGAACCCTAGGTTTTAGTACGAGTTCTACTCGCACTTGTCCGGTTTTTCGTTTTCGTACTTAACTGCTTTCAAAGATGTCGAAAAGTACACCTTTTCTTAATTCATATCGCCTTGTCAAGAACATTTTACAACTGACAATGAATAAAATTTTTAACCAAAAGAGAATAAAAGTTAAGTAATAGGTAAGTGCTGTGATTGCTAGTAAAATATTTTATAAATTCCTAAAAAATAAAAGTAATAATATGCAAAACCTATCCTCACTTCATTTGAACAAGTAGGAAGAAGAGAATAAACAATTACATTGTAAAAATATGGGGGTCGAGTTGGGACCACCCCTTGAGGGTCGGTTTCGGACCACCCCCACTATTTTCACAAAATGTTTTGTCAATCACTTATATCAATGGAATCAATTTAATTTGAATGTTGTGCGTTAAAGTTAAGGTCATACACAATCAAAATTAATTTCGTAAAAATTTTCCTGTATTCAAAAAACACTGTTAGCTCGAATTCCGTATAGGTCAAAAATTAATTTAAACAATGCTAAAATCTAATATTGCTTGAGTCTTCAGAATGAAATCAAACGCATTGATAAAAAGTGTTCGACTGATGGTACTGGCGAATTTTTTAGTGGTACCATCTTCAAGAAACATAAGGGGGTCGGTATGGTACGAGGGGTCGGTATGGGACAACCCTCCCCTACATATATATCAATGTATATTTTCTCGAAAAAAATTTTGAGGCCTGTGTTATTAAGGTAAATGTCCCTATTATGGAACACTTTTTCAATTGTCTAAAAATTAATTTTTTTTTGTAGTAAACAGTTAAATAAATTAAAAATAGTCAACTATGAATCTATTGTCCTATCTTTATAGATTCCAAAAACATTTTTTACACATGATTTTAATCGATTTTCTTTTTTTAATTAAACAATTTTTGTAACGGTAGAATGCATGTATTATGAAACGCCATTTTCACTCCTGTATGGGTGTTCCATAATTAATGCCCCTATTAATGGAACATTAATATTTATTCTAATTTGAGCTATTTGTACATAATTCTCTTTAGTTTTTGTCAGCAAGGGTTAAGAAAATAGTAAATCAAATAATATTTAAACATCTAAATAATTAATTGTTTATTTTTCAATATAAAACAGTCGGTAAAGTTCTTTTACATTAAAAATCTTTCATTAGAACGAATCAACCAATTTTGACTTAGAAATACTTAAGTAATATAATTCACTATTTTTTCTCTTGCTTTATTTTCAATGTTTTTTTTGCTTGCTTTGGTGGTCTTTTTAACTTAGCTTGTATTTGTTTAATTTCATCGTCCAATTTTTTCTTTTTTTCATTTAAATCTTTTTTTTCATCTTGCAGAGCTTTTCTTTGTCGTTGCTCTAGTTCTTTATTTTCCTTTTCTTTTTCTGATTCCATCATTTCAATCCACCTTGTATCACAAGTAGCTACAGATGGTTTTTTGGGTTTTCCTTTTTTTTCAATTTCACTTTTTCTCTTTTTTGGAAGGTACTTTGTCGGGAATAAAAATGAATTGTCGAAGGTTTCGCGAGAATTTTCTGCATCTAAAAAATTTTTTAATTGTTTTAATATTTCTAATTAAATAAATAAATATTAATTTATCAATAATATAATTGTAACAAATTTAGATTTAATCAACTTACTTATATTATTTTCGTCCTGAATTTTCGTTGATGTGTCATTCACAAGATCTTTAGATCCATGATTCTCGAGAAATCGAGTTTCCACGTTTTCGAAATTTTCAAACTGGGCGACATTGGAATTTGTGCTGTATAAAACTTCAGATTGTGGAACTTCACTTAGATCCAGAGAACTATCCTTAATAACATTTATATCTAAGCATATATATAAGAATTTCAGATTTAATTAACAAAATATTCATAAGTTAATTTTTGAATATGCATTATAAATTCTTACCATTAATATTTCCATTTTCGGTGATTATCTCCATGTGCTTGGTTACTGTTTGGTCAACATTAATATTATCATTACAAACTCCAGTAAGGTCTAATGAAAACATAGAATTACGAGATTCTTCTTCAGTAAACGGTAAATCATTATCAATCAATATTTCAATCGAATTTGTATCAACTAAGTTCTCTAATATTGCTGGAGAGACTTCTTTTAAAACGATAATTTCATTCGACTGGAAATTTTCAGACTTGTCTAAATTGAGTTGCAAATTTTCGTTCTGTTGGACTTTTTCGGCTGTAACATTTCTCAGTAAATTATTTACTTCACCTTGTACATACTCAGAAAGATTTTCAAGATTTTCATTTGTAATGATATTGACTCTTTTTCTTGTTGTCGCTTGAGTTTCTACATCTACAAAGATATCTTATTATTAATTACAATTTAAAAACTTTAATTATATGAATAAAAATCTGTTTTAAAAAAATCGATCACGTTGACATTCTGTTTCAATACGAAACGATTTATATAACTATATTGTAAAAATTATTAACGTTGATTATTAAATTAATTATTCGAAATATCATTAAAATAAATTAAAAATAGATAGTATTCAAATACCACAAGCTGCTTTTTTCATTTTTAACCAATAATCATATAATCCTTTCATTTCAAGTGGACCAATCCACGATTGTCCAGTTTCACTAGTCTCGAATAACAATTTCACTCCAGGATCTAATGTTCTTTCGAAATGCTCCAAATATTCCATTTTTGATACGGAAACATCACCAATATGTACCTGATTTTTATTTTTAGTTTTGGACACTTTCCTTTCTTTTATCTAAAATATTGTAGTTGACAGCATCAGGGTTGAAAGGAACCAATCCAGCTCTTTTAAATCCACTAATAACTGTTTTAGCTTCATCTTTATAAGAATCTACTGTCAATTTTAAAACAGCTGGGAAATTTTCTTTCGTCACTTCAGAAGCATTACTTGTTCTCTTCCAGATTGGAACCATTTCTCTCCACAAATTTTTCAATGGATGAAAATATGCAATATCAAGAGGTTGTATCAGATGAGTAGAATTTGGAAATAATAAAATCAGATGAATTTGTTTTTCTCTACAAAAAGACAATAAAGGAATCGATATGTGCGAGGCATGGCCATCCATATACACAAGTATAGGAAACTTTGTGTCCTCTTTTGTAAGCCAAGGATAAAAAACCATAGTGAAATATTCGTGAAAACTATCTGCTGTCATCCAGCCATTTTCGGATATTCCAAGTCCCCAATCGCTTGGTGTGTGTTGTAGAATATTTTTGGAAATCTTTGTTTTACCCTTGAACATGAGCATTGGTGGAGCTCGTCTTCCATCTGCGCCGAACATAAATAATGCTGTATAACATTCCTTGCCAGACCCATCAATAATATTATACACAGTTTTCGACCCTTTTTCTGCAAATACTCTTGTTGTAGCTGGACACAATTCCATACTGGTCTCATCACAATTAAAAATGTTTGAAGGAGGTAAATTCAATAATGCATTTTCTTCGAGGTAAAGACGGATCTCTTCAAACCACTCCCGTAGATCTTCTTCTGTAACTGCTGCACGCGCAGCTGTTAGATTCTGAGCTTTCCTCACAGTTACATTTGGATATCGTTTCATAAAATGGTCAAACCAACTGCGACCCGGTCTGTTATCTTTAAATGGAGTTTCTTTTCTTTCGAAGTTTAAATAAGATTGAATAGAATCCAAAAGTTCGTTTTTGTTAACTGGAGATCCAGTTTTCGACCTATGAATCATCCAATTTACTATATTATGTTCAATATTTTCCGATAAAACTGTTGGTGGACCTGATCTTCTCTCACTTTTATTTGGGCAATTCACTTTTCTACACAAAGTTGAAGCTGGCACTCCACACTCACTTGCTGCTTTTCGAAGATTTACTCCATGTTTCACAGCTAAAATACCTCTCTCTAAAGCTTCTGAAGAATATTTTTTTCTGGTTTGTTTCTCCTTTGTGATTTTATTTTGTAAACTTTTAACTGATACGGCTCCTTTTTTTATTTTGACTTTCTTCACCTTCGATTTCAATAGATTATTAACATTCTTTTTCTTTTTAGAATCTTTTAATTTTACATCCACATTTTTTTTATTCTTATTTACCTTCATTTCTGAAAAAAATATTCAATAAATTAATTGATAATAAAAATTTTCATATGACACTGCATATTTACTAACAGATTTTTGAGGTTAGGTGCACGTAAACTAAGATAATGGTATATGAAAATGAAATACTTACTTGATCCGACGAATAAATAATATTATGCTACAATCACTTTACACCTTTGCATCAAGTAAAACTATAAAAACTAAATTTTTATTAGTGAAATAAGTGAAAAATCGTGGAAAATCAGTGCAATAAAGTAAACATGATTCGTGTTCCATTAATATGCGCAGCTGAGAAATAGTGGAACGTAACCATGAAACAGGCGTTCCATAAATAAGGACATTTTAATATAAAATGTATGTATTATGAAACATGCATAATTTAAAACAATTTTTTAACTTTTTGGGAAAATGGTTCCTGAATTATGAATTTCGAAGTTATAAATAATCAAAAAATTAATTTTCGTTAATTACATTTTGTCATATTTATAATAAATATGACAATTTGAATTTCACAGTTGCACTGTATTTCCCCTAACAAGGTTCGTATTTTTGTCTACATTTGTCCCATCTCTGACCAAACATGATGAAAACATTTTTAAAAAAAGAATTATAATATGAATACTATTGTAATTGAGTTAATAGTGCAAATATATATCAAATCTTCTAATAATAACACTTTTAATTGATGAGAAACATATTTTCTACTTTAATTTCGAAATATTTTTCGTTGTTCCATAATAGGGTCAAAAATTTAATGTGTTCCATAATAGGAACATTTACCTTATTTGTTATACTACAAAATATATTTTAATTTATTTTAATTTTAAATTATTAAAAATTCAAGATTAATTTATATAATTAATTTATAAACAAACAAAAGAATAATAAAATATAAAAAGATAAACCAATTATAAAAATTCACAAATAGAATTCAATAAATTACATTCTTAAAATATTATGAAAATAATTATTTAATTTGAAAATTGTATTATTAATAATAATAATATTATTTTTCTTTAGATACTGCATATTTTTTTTATTTTAATAAATTTACTTTAATAAATTTGATTGATAAAAAGATTTGTTTATTTACATTTGAAGAATTGATATAATTTAACTGAATGAACTTTCTAGAAATAAAAACTAGTCTTTATTTTTTCTCTTTTCCTGTTTGTTTGAATCTTCTTCATTTTTTCCTGTGTAAATAATAAATAAACATTTAAAACTGTATTATTGGTAATAATAATAATTATATTATAATAATATAATATTATTATTATAAAAAATCAAACTACTTAAACAATTATTTTTACTGGAAATTAGTCATATTTCACTTATTTAAATAAAGAAAACTTTTTATAATAATGAAAATTAGAAAACTAATTATTTTAATAAATTAAATAGGTATTCCATACTTTATATATTACAAAGAAAATTAAAATCATATGTCTTCTACTAAAATTGTTTTGTGACAAAAAAATTATATTTAGATAAAATTAAATTAGTTTTTTTAATTGTTTAAAATATAATATTATTTTATAATTTTAATTTTTTAATTTATTCTAAATAGTTATATTTTTAAAGACAAAAAATTTTTAAATTAAACAATTAAATTTTATTGAAACCTTTTATTTTCTTTCTCTTTATTTCTCCCTCTTAAATTTCTTTCTGAATTTTTTTTCTTTTCCTCTTTCAATTTATCCACATCTTTCATTTTTTTCACTTCATTTTCTGCTTTTTTTCAACTGTCTTTAATTGTATTAAATCATTAACTTGTTCTATTTTATTACGTTCAGGTTTATCTAGTTCTGGTGTTACTAATTTCAGTTTTACTTTAATCAATTCCGGTTTAATCTCAACTGGTTTTGAGTTTGAATAAAAAAACTTTTTATAAATGATAACACTGAAAAAGTTATTTATTTATTAAAAAATAGTAATAAAACTAATTTTAATCTTAATCTTGATTTTACAGAAATCAATATTTCAATAACATCGCATCAATCGGATTTGGAAACAAATTAACTAAAAATTTATATTAATAATTATCTCTTATTAATACTACAACAAAAATCAACTTTGAATTTTTCATTTTGTAAACTTTAATTAAAAATAGAAGAATGTTTTTATTTACCCCTAAAAACTGGAAATTCGGAGTAAATAGAAACAGAAATTTCAACAATATTTCTTATAATAGAAAGAGAGAAAATAAGAGAGAACAAACCTTTATTTGTGCAATGTGTTTAAACTTTTAGCATGGTTTATTCTTAAACTTATGTAATGCACTAGTATTTATTGGTTTGAATTATTTTATAACTAACACCATTTTTGATATAATTCTTTGTATCTTTTAACATTTCCATACTTGAAATTAATTTTTTCTTAAATTTTGTAAGAAACAGTTGATTGCTAACAAACTGCTGACTGACAATTTTCTTAATATAATATTTTGATTAAATATTTTTGGTCAAAAAGAAAATACACTCGACTCTCGGATCTTTTGCATTCAGTTCTTTTACACTCTCGTGTCTTTTGCAATTTTTCTCCCGCACCTTTTACCTTTTACATTAAATAAATAAATGACTATCAGAGTGTCAAAACATTTATTTCACGATAACTTTGGTTATCTAAAGTAAATTATAACAGTTCAATAATTCCTCCATTATGTGATTAAAATTATATTATAATTATTATTAATATATACTCCAATAGTCTTGAAACAAATTTTTTCTTGTACCTTCGGAAATTTTTGTCTCGCATCTAAATGATTTGATTTATTTCGTGGAATATCTTAATTTAAAAATGATGATTGATTGTTACTAGGCGAAATATTCGAAAATGATTAAATTATTCTTTTTTAAAATTTTTCACACTGTGGTGTTAATTGTTATATTATTAAAACGTTTTTGTGTTAACATACTTTTCTATTAAATTAAACTTATTCAATTAAAATAACCTACAGAATAAAAGATGTTTTAATTTCTAGAAAATAAAAATGTAAACTTCATCTTTATTTACATTATAAAAAAAATTTTTAATATTTTTTTCCTATATAATTATAGTTTTGGTTCTTAAAACCAAAATAAACATTTGTGTATATCAAAATCAATATACTTTTAATATTCTTATTTAAAATACTTACCGCTTGAAGTTGATTCTTTCGAATCCATAATTGGTTAATTAATTTTATTTATTATTTATTTCATTAATTTGTATTCCAGAAACGTTTCATAAAATACAAAATAAAGTTAAACTGACAGTTGTCAAAGTAAAAACATATATGTCATAAAAATATTTATTTGACCCGGTTTGCATTTGTCTTTTTTAATGCGAATAAGCATTTTATTGCATTGGAGGTTGAATAAGAATTTTATTTCAGGGAGTTTTAGGCAACTTCAAATTGCATTTTATTTTGTGTTAGGATTATATTGCACTGGACTTTGAAAATGCATTTTATTAACGGGAGGCGTCGAAATCTTTGAAAAATTATTTGTCAAGAATGTCATGAGACTAGTCAAAATAGGTGCAGTGGCTACAAACCTACCTGGTTTGTAGCTACCTTTTTCCTGAATGTCCTTTTTTCGCGAAAATAAATAAAGTGATTTAAGAACTCAATAATTCATTACTGTATCCGGTTCTAAAAAGTATAAAGATAAAACTTGGGTATGCAAATATATGAAATATATAAAATATGTACCCTGACACGGTGAAAGGGACCTTACGCCCAAAAAATTGATTTTGTGTTATTATTGTCATTTTATCGATTGAAAGAATGTAGATAATTTTTAGTAACTAAAAATATAACTAAAAATTAATTTTTTGGACGTAAGGTCCCTTTCACTGCGTCAGGACACATATAGTGAACTAAAAAATTAAAAATAAATTAAAATGAAAGGGCAATGTAGTAAGATAATTATTTTTAAATATTATAAGTTTCCCGTTTCTTTTTGGGGGCTGCTTTGATGGGCCTTCCCAAAATTAACTCTGCAACAGATATCTTTGTATCCGCTTGTTCCTTTCGAATTTCTGTAAGAATCAAATATAAATCGGGGTGGTGTTTCCCTATCAGTAAAAAAATTTAGTGTGCCATCCTTTACTAAATCTTTATTGGTGCGAAGATTTCTTTGCACTGTTGATTCGCAATAGTTCCAAATATTTATAGGGAAACAAGGAAGAATTGCTCTCCTTCGTTCTCGACCTGGTCTTCCATTTACATAATTTTCCTCGAAATAGTCAAAAGTAGGAAGCAGTTCCTCGAGAGCTTCATTGACGAGAAGCTGAAAAGTTGTTTTAACACGATCTGGCTGGACGAAAGCAACAGCCATCATCATGCGTGTAAAATTCTTTATTTCTAGACTGGTCACGTGGTTATAAGCTTCCTGTAGTCCTTCAGTTTGTATGCGGCGGTATAAAGTCCCAATTTTTACAGCATTATCCATTTTAAATCAAACTTTATAAAATACCAATAATAAAATCAAATTTTTTCGGGTTCGTATATTTTTCAGGAAATTATACATTCGTGGAATTTTCTTTTTGGGAAAAGGTTTCCGGGAATTTGAGCATTTGGGAAATAAATAAACATAAACTTTAATTTAAAAGTTGAAGAAAAAATAAAATTTTCATTCTTTGACATTTTTAAAAATGAGTTCTTTGAATAGCAAGAAATTTCTGACAAAAATGTACAAAATAAAATTTGTATTTTTGCCTTTTAAAGCTTTTCCAATGGATTCTAAAGAAAGACTAAATTTTCTATCAGAAAGGCTGTATATTACGGAAAAAGGGAAAAAAACATTCAACAAATATCAATTTGAAAGAAATTCTATTCATTTTTAAAAACTTAATTAAATTGTGGAAATGTTGAAACATATTAACCGCTTCCTGTGTAGCTGAAATATTAGGGAAAAAGGTTCGGCTGTGGGCACCCTTTGGTTTTGACTCATAACTTACGCCCAAGATGACTAAAAAAATTTTATTGAATATTTAATAGCAATAAAATAGCAATCAAATTTAATAGCAAAAATATATTATTATAATAATGCTTACCAAAGCATCCGTTGTTGCTAATTGCTAAGAACCACTTCCTCCGTTAGAATTTTTAAAGAAAGGACAGTTAGTTTCAAACAAAAAATTTATAGTGTTAGGGACAAATAAGCAAAAAAATATTAAAATAAATTTTTATCTCACATGCACAAAAATGTCGCTTTCTGATAGCTAACGACAAGGAGTAAAGTCCCCAGTAAGAAGTAAGGAATTGAGAAGAATTGAACATTTTTAACTTTTTACAGAAAATGTTAAATTATCAATTTTTTTGAATTCCGTTTCTGTCCAATTCCTATGTATTCCTTTTTCAGGCAAAGATTTCTTGAAAGTGTATTCCAATCAATTCCGTTTTAATATTTCTTTAATTTTTGAATTTTTGTGAATTCCGAAATACCCAGGTGCGAAAAGTTGGTCGGGCCATGGTCGCGCCGACCAAGTGGATAGTCGTGCCGACCTTGGCAACCAAAGGTCGGCCGAACTAGCGAATTGTAACACCCGCCGTCCAGTGGCTGACATGGTCGGGCCGACTATGGCTGCCAAAGTCGGACCGACCAGGGGTGCCAAAGTTTTGCCAACCATGTGAAAGAATGTCGGCTTGACTTTGGCAACCATGGTCGTGCCGACCTTGGCAGCCAAAGGTCGGCCGAACTAGCGAATTGTAACACCCGCCGTCCAGTGGCTGACATGGTCGGGCCGACTATGGCTGCCAAAGTCGGACCGACCAGGGGTGCCAAAGCTTTGCCGACCATGAGAAAGAAGGTCGGATTCACTTTGGCAACCTTGGTCGTGCCGACCTTGGCAGCCAAAAGTCGGCCGACCGATTGCAAAAAATTATTAATTATTTATTATTATTATTAATTATTATTATTCATTATTTATTTGTTTATTGTATACATCTTAACACTAAACGCAATCTTACACATAAATACAAATTAAAATTTCTAACGCTCGCAGGAATCGAACTCGCAACCTAACGCACCGAAGTCTAACACGCTAACCATTACGCTACGCTTACATGAAAGCCTAAGAACAAAAATGATTTTATAAGCTGCAACTTCAAACTGACCATCGGCCCGACTCTGGCCAAAGTCGGCCCGACCAAGTGAAATTAGGTTTTTTGCACTCTGGCTGCCATAGTTTTACCGACCGTCGGCCCGACTCAGGCCAGAGTCGGCCCGACCAATTGAAATTAGGTTTTTTAAACTCTGGCTGCCATAGTTTAACCCACCATCGGCCCGACTCAGGCCAGAGTCGGCCCGACCAACTAAAATTAGGTTCTCTAAACTCTGGCTGCCATAGTTTTACCGACCGTCGGCCCGACCAACAGAAATTAACCTTTTTAAACTCTGGCTGCCATAGTTTTACCGACCGTCGGCCCGACTCAGGCCAGAGTCGGCCCGACCAATTGAAATTAGGTTTTTTAAACTCTGGCTGCCATAGTTTAACCCACCATCGGCCCGACTCTGGCCAAAGTCGGCCCGACCAAGTGAAATTAGGTTTTTTAAACTCTGGCTGCCATAGTTTAACCCACCATCGGCCCGACTCAGGCCAAAGTCGGCCCGACCAATTGAAATTAGGTTTTTTAAACTCTGGCTGCCATAGTTTAACCCACCATCGGCCCGACTCAGGCCAAAGTCGGCCCGACCAACAGAAATTAACCTTTTTAAACTCTGGCTGCCATAGTTTTACCGACCGTCGGCCCGACTCAGGCCAGAGTCGGCCCGACCAATTGAAATTAGGTTTTTTAAACTCTGGCTGCCATAGTTTAACCCACCATCGGCCCGACTCTGGCCAAAGTCGGCCCGACCAAGTGAAATTAGGTTTTTTAAACTCTGGCTGCCATAGTTTAACCCACCATCGGCCCGACTCAGGCCAAAGTCGGCCCGACCAACAGAAATTAACCTTTTTAAACTCTGGCTGCCATAGTTTAACCCACCATCGGCCCGACTCAGGCCAAAGTCGGCCCGACCAACAGAAATTAACCTTTTTAAACTCTGGCTGCCATACTTTAGCCGACCATCGGCCCGACTCAGGCCAGAGTCGGCCCGACCAACTAAAATTAGGTTCTCTAAACTCTGGCTGCCATAGTTTTACCGACCATCGGCCCGACTGAGGCCAGAGTCGGCCCGACCAACTAAAATTAGGTTCTCTAAACTTTGGCACCCATAGTCGGCCCAAACTTGGGTGGAAACAGTAACCAAAGTCGGCCCGACTTTGGCTGCCGACCTATTGGCAGCCATAGATGGGCCGACCTGCGCCCGACCTTCCAACTCTGGCGGCCGACCAAAATTCGCACCTGGGTACTGTGTGATACTCGGTAAGTTCAATTTCTGTCTATTCCATTTTAATATTTTGTAATTTTTCAATTCCTCTGAATTTTGCAACACTTTGAGATAAGTGCTTCTCAAATTCGAATGTCATAGTACAGTTTAAACAGCTGAGCGGACAAGCTGTTTGTCTCCGACAATGGAACTTGAGGGTTCAAATCTTCGAACCGACAAATTTTATTCATTGTCAATATTATTAATTGAGGGGCTTTATAGAATAAAGGGACGAGAACGTGGTTGGAAGGGATAATACCAGTCAAGGAGCAGTAAGAGGCTCAAGGCTTGCCACTGCTACCCGACTGGTAATATCCCTTCCAAACCACGCGTTCGTCTCCTTATTCTATGGAGCCCTTCAATTATAGATATCCCTAATTTTATTTATATTTGATTGATGAAATAATAACTTAGACAAGTTGACTTGTACAATAACTTAGTGTTTATTAGAGTAGAGAGAGGTAATAGAAGTGTTGTTGCCATCATATTGTTTTAAATTTATAACTAACTCTACACAGCACCTAAATTTTCATAATGTCCAAGGAAAAACCATAGGTATGTGGGAATTAGGTTATTTATGGGGCATTGAAAACCTACCCGAAATCTTAGGGATATTGAAATTTCCGTATACTTATAGGACGTCCATCGATCATCTTGAAATATCCGTTGCTATTCGGGCATGTAGTAAAAAATTTATAATAAAAAGTGCATTTTAATATAAAGTCCTCTGCAAAGAATTATGATTATAAGGATTTCAGTTTTTAAGGCTAATTTTATTTCAAAAAGGTTTCCTATTCTTCCATTAGAAAATATTTTGTGAATCGATTGTTGTATACATTAAAAATTGAAAAACAAATTTGAACTTATTTTACAACTTTTATACAATTTTTTCTTAAAATATAAAATATTGTTCGTCAAAAATTAATTTTTATTTCGTAGAAAGAAGATAATAAAGTCAAATTTAATTTTGATTATCACTAGCTATTAAAGTTTAGCAATGTAGACAAATTTGTAATAAAAAGAATATATCAATTTAAATTTCATATTTTAAAGAAATAATAATTTTATGTTGCTGGTGGATGAAGTAGATATAGGATTATTATTGTGGTGGATTGAAATAATCCCAGTGATGGTGGTGGGTTACATTTCGTGGACTTCCAAACGATATAATTAACAATCCAGCAACTATCAGTAGCAAGGCACACAAAACTAATTCTACTTCTCGAATTTTGTCACTTGCATCTTCCCTGCCCACTTTTAAGGCAATGTAATTTACCATGTGCCTCAAATTTCTGACCCCAATGATACGAATTGCTCTGAACATTTGTCGAGTGGTTTCTGTAAGACTGATTTCTGTTTCAGCTTGCGGTGGAATAGGTGAAGCTAATGAAAAAAAATGAACAGGAATTTGTGAGGTTTCAATTGTACATTCTCTTCCTTCAATGTGTGGAGTAATTGTTTGGTGTGATAACATTTCCAAAGTTGTTCGATGAGTTGGTCGTATTTCTGAAGTGTCTGTTACTGGTGTTAGAGATTTTGCATGAGATGGAATTTTAAAATCTTTTCCACTAGGTGGTGTTGAGGTTATTGAACTGCTTCTTACTTTCTGACAGAGTAACGCATCTTTTTCTACAGATGTTTCACGTGAAGTTGCAAGGTCCATCTCAGGTCTGATTTCACTCTCAGGTTTCAGACTTTTTACCTGCAAAATCTGATCTTGTAAAATTTCTATTTGTGCAGATGATCGCGCCATTTGCTCAACTACTTTATTGACTTTCATTTTTATTATTTCTACATTACCTGACCCTGTTTCTGCATCTGATTCAACATGTTGCAAAGGACTCGGTAGAACTTCATCTGAAACTTGTAAATCGCCTGGTATATTAATTTCTTCGTCATTTGTAGCTGTACATGCATCTTCTGTTGTGGAACGTGGTCTTTCTTGGAATTGTGCTACAGTTTCTAAACGATTTCTAATAGCTAATAATTCTTCTAGCAACGATTGACTTATTTCACTTTCTTTATAACTTCCTTCCCTTCTTAGTTCAGAAGCTGAAACAACCATCGCATCAATTTCAGAAGCTGCAATTTTAAATGCCTCTAATTGAGAAACACTGAGTCGGTCCACTCGTAAATCTCCAACTTCTAGGTTATTAATTCGTATTGGTTCATCAGATAGTAAAGCTGTTCGCAAAATATCATTTTTGTCTGGAATATTTTCCTCTGATTTACTCATAGGTTTTTCTAAGTGATCTAAATCATCATTTTCAAGCGGTTGATCTGAAATTTGTAATGAGGGCGTTGTTGGTCGAAGAGTTGGCGTTGGAATTCGTTCAGTCGAAATTAATATCTGTGAACCATGTCTTGAGTGGGACATAACAAGCTTAGCTTGGGTTACTTCTTCTTCTATTACTTCGTCATCTGATAGTGGATCAGTCTGTGTAGAAGCAACCGCTTCTCCACTGTCACGCACGTTTTCCGGTTCGTAATATTCACTTGATTTTGATAATTTCTGTAATCTAGGTGGCCTTGGTGGAGCTGGTAAAGGACGACTTTGAACTTTATTGAGAAATTCACTTTTGAAATTTTTATGTTCTTCATCTGAATCAATGTTAACATATTGTGTAACATCCTCCGACGAATTAATTATATTTTCTGCTTTAGGTATATTGTTTTTCACGTGACTTAATGTGCTGTAGGCTCTTTGTGTACGTTTAGGCGTTGAAGGTCTCGGATTTGTAGCACTTTTGTGTCTTCGTTGTCTAGGTGGAGGAACATGTGACGACTTTTCACGTTTATCTATAACAGCATAGCCAGGTGACTGTTCATGAAGATCAGCTTGAGCCATATCACAATCTGCAAGATATACTTCTGAAATCGATTCGACATCATGCAAAGAGTGGTTTTTATCTGTTGTAAAAGAAGCAGTCCTAGACCGCGATCTTCTTTTTGGAGGTATAGGTGGAACTTGAAACATTTCACCTTCAACATTTTGTAAAAAGTTTTTTTCCCTTTCTGTATCAAGTGGGAAATACATGAAGTGCTTGTTTGATGACAGTTCATCATGTACGGAATTTTGCAAAATATTATTATGGCCATTGCAAATAGAATTGTTTATTGCATTTTCTGTATCAATTACTCCATTTATATTCTGATGTCGACTTCGTTTCCTACGACAAGGAACAATTGGTGAAAACAATTCTGTTGTAGTACCATCAACAGAATTCTTTGTAGATCCAATATGAGATTCAGCTTGACTGTGAATGGAACTTTTTGACTTTCTGCGTATAGGCTTTAAAACTACGATATCATCTAAATAATCTATTGGAGATTGTTCACGAGATATAGTTTCTGCTCGATAAACTATTCTGTGAGTAGAATTTGAGAAGCTGTCCCTTCGACTTAAGTGTTCCAATGATAGATCACTGTAGTGTAATATTTGATCATTTCTTGTATGCATAGGTGGTGAATCTTTAAATGACTTCAAAAATTTCTCTTTTCTTTTTCTTAATGATTTAGTGCGATAAGGTCTTTGAGGTGGTACAGGGGGTTCGTTGAAGTCAGTAAGTGAATTTGTGTACTTATCTTCGTGAAATTTATGTAAATTTCGATCAATATACATTTTTACATTCATATTATCGTGACTATTATCGTCATGAATTGAAAAATTGTCTGAATCTGTCTCTTGAATAATATGACTAGGCTTTCCATAGGAACTTTCACTTGATTGTTGTTCAGCATTTGAAGGCCCTGGAGAATTTTCTTCGTAAGACATATTCCTAATTTCAATTTGATTAATCTCTAATGATGGAGTAGATTCTTCAAACTTATTATTGTCGTTGTTTCTAAAATCTTCGATTTGTTTCAGTCTTATAACCCTTAATTTATATTCTTCTTCACCGTTATAATTATCATCTTTTTCTGTCTCCATATTGTCTTCTGTTTGGCAGGGTTGTTCCTGAGAATCTTCTTCATAATCAGCGAATTGTATTTCTTCCTGATAAATAAATGTTTTTTGTTCAATCTCCCAAGGTAAATTTTCTGATTCCTCATGAGATTCTGATGACTGAATTCTAAAAGCTAATCGCGGTTCTTCTAGAGATGCATGTCTCCATGGTCTTGTTCTTTCTATTGCAACTTTTTGATCACACATGTCCTCATCTAAGAATTCATTTTCTTTAAATTCTTGATTCCCCCGATCCTTAAGGGTATTCTTAGCGCGCGGATAAGTGAAACTGTCGATAACATGAGCACGTGTTTCTTTTGGTGACGATGTAGTATATTCATCTTTATTTTTTGCCTTCCAATCAAAAATTTTCTGACAACTTGAAAAATGTGAAAAAATATTTTTGTGAGATCCGTAAGAAGATTTCGTTGATTGTTGTTTTTGTTTCACTCGCGAAGAAGGCGTGCGTTTCAGAGTGCTACTGATAGCTGCAGGTAGGTGCACTTTAGGACGTTTAATATTAAGTTTCGGATGCTTCTTTAAGCTCAACTTTGACATACTAGGAAATTGAAAACGTGGCCTTTCAGGAAGTGCCATTTTAAAACGTTCCATTCTGTTCAATTTTTTAGTTTTTTGGTTTTCAGGAACAGATACTGGCGCGGGTTTCTTTTTACTAAATTTGCAACGAGTAGGAACTGTGAAACTAGGCCTTTGGAAATTTTTAAATCGAGAAGTCAGCTTTTCAGCTTGATTGCGAAGCTTCTCTTGTAATCCAGGATTTGCTTGCTTGTTCTGAATTTCTTCTTCCACTGGCACCTGCAATAAAAAATAAAAGATTAAGAAAGCGTTCAGACAAAATAGCATATACGTCAGATAAACATTTTTGTCTGTACAATGTTTTAAATTTAAAAATTTATGAGTTACTTCATGGTTTAAGAAATAAGATTTATCATATTGGTGACAATCATAATTTGTTAATTGTAATATTTCTTATTACGTAAGAATATGTGGCTCTAAGTTTAAATAATCATCATGCTTCTACACTTAGATTTATTTACTCTTTTTAATAGATTAAACAAATTTTGTCTAAATCCACGGGAAAAAGTACACAAAAACATTAATACGTTATAAAAATTGGCGTTTCTCTTGTATTTTAAAATTAAACACGTAACATATTTCGCAACTCTAAGGCGAATCAATGCGTTTCTTTGAGTTGTCTCAGTGTTTTACTATGAAACACATTTATTAATATCTTATTGAATCAGAAGATACTTTTGCGTTTCAAATTTCTGAAACCGATGTATTGAGACATAATGTGTCATTAATTAAGATAGGTGACTTACTTTGAGTCATTTAAAGGTTATAACCTTTAAATGTCTTGAAGTGAGTTTCACTCAGCTACACATACGTTTTAAAGTCGCATGTCAGTAAAACTACATGTACGCTTTAAAGCAGTCGAAATCGTCTGTCATCAAAATCGACTATAATCGGAGACACTTTTCTCGAAATCTACTAAACCGATTTTAAAAAAAGAAAAACCATTTGATTCTTACCTAAAAAACTAAATAACAAACCTCTACAATTTAAACCCTGTTATTTTCTACTGGAATAAATGTCACTTATGCCATCACATCACAAAAACTAGAATCAGTTATTTTTACATACACTCACTAGGTCAAAAATTTAATGAGGTAAAGTTATAATTTATAAACCGAAAGTGTAATTAATTGTTTTTCACTTACACTAACATTTTCTCTTTTATTAAAACAACAATTAATTTATTCTATATTATTTTCACTTACATTCTCATTAAGAAGCTCACTTTCGTCTTTACCAAAAAGTAAAATTAATTTTTACTCTCACTCACAAAACTTATCAATTACATCTTTCCTCATAGACTAATATTAACCAAACCTTCAATTAATTATATTCACTTTTACCCTTACTCAAAAACTCATTCTCACTTAAACCAGAAGAAAATAAAATTTTTCAATTTGCTCACTTTCTACAGGAATAAATGAATAATAATAAATAAATAAATTTAATTTTTTGTATTTACTTTACATCTTAATTAATTTACATAATATCATTCATTACTTATTTAAAATTTTTATTTTGCTAAAAGTGAATGAGTATAAGAAAAAAATTAATTTTAGTTTTGGTAGAAATGAAATTTAAAGTTAAAAAAAATTTATTTTAGTAAAAGTAAAGTGACAATTTAAATGACAAAAAAGGTAATTTTAATTACCTGAATAAAAAATTTAGGACATTCGTGGGTGGTAATTGTCTCATAAAGAAAAGTAAATTTGTAAAAAAAATTATGCACTTTAAAATTGGAAGTAAATTATAAATTTAAGAAAATTCTTTTTCAGTTTTTTGATTTAAAAAGCATTGCGAATTTCATATCTATTATAACTTGATGTTTTTAAAAGTCATAGGTTAAAAATAAATAATTACTCCGAAGCACCAATGAATTATTAAATATTAGGTGATATACCATCAATTATAAAATTTATAATGTACATAACGACATATGCCTTAAAAAATAAAATTTACCATGAAATCTTCAAGTTCAGGTATGTTATAATTTTTAAATTATTAAAATTCTTAAAAGAAACGAGATTCTGAAATTCTAAAACTGGAAAATTTTTCTGTAAAGATTAATAATTTTAGTTATGTTCCAAGCTAGTCCAAACGTTAATTCTTGAATTTTACATTATGTTTTGATTCCAAGTTTCAGTATCTGCTTGCAATTTTTGCTAATATTTGCTATTTTTCGAGTATAACGAATTTTATAGGACGCATTACAAAATAACACAAATTTGGTAACCTTTAAAAATTAAATTGAAAAAACTTTAGTTTTTAAAACGTTCCATATTGTAAATTTAAAAAATTTAAACTTTTTAATTTATAAAGGTTGAATATTCTTACAATTTTCGAATCATTTATCGCATAGGTGTCTTTAATTTCAATAAATAGTTGTCATTAGTCTACAATTAAAAACTAATCATTGTAGATTTTATTTAGAAACGACCTCTTACATCACAAAACTGACAAAAATTCTATTCTATATTTTATTTTCCTGACTTTTTCCTAATTTTCATCCAAAATATTTACTTCTTTCTTATCCTGCTAATAAATTAAATTCTATTATTTATGAAAACACTTAAATTATTGCGAACGATTTTATTAGAATTTTTTTAAATAATTGAATTTCCAAGAAGAAATTTTTTACTTTTTAAAAATAATTGAATTTTTGTGAGGAATATTGTTATTAATGAAAATAATTTAATTTCGGAAAGAATTTTTTTAATATGCCTCAAAATTTAAAAATTTTTGAGAATAATTTTGTTATTTATCAACATAATTAAATTATTTCAAAGAATTATTTATGTAAATAATTATATTTTTGGGAAAAATGTTATAAAAATCTAAAAGAATAATTGAATTATTTCAAAAAAAGTTAATTAAAATTGTATTTAAAAAAATTCATTTCTTTCGAAAATTTTTATTAAAATATTTGAAAATAATTGAATTCTTCCAAAGAATTAAAAAAAAACATTTTTTAAAATAATTGATTTTTTCGAGAAATTGATATTTAATTTTTAAGAATAATTACATTTTTCCAGCAATTCCTGTAAAATTGTATTAAAAATAATTGAAATCCTACGATGAATTTTATTATTTATAAAAATAATTGAATACTTGTTAAGAATTTTTTAAAATTTTCAAAAATAATTGAATTCCTGAGAAGAATTTTATTATATATGAAAATAAGTGAATTATTTAAAAAATTTTATTAAAATGTTTAAAAAGGATTGAATTTGTGTAAAAAATTTTGTTATTTTTGAAAATAATTGAATTCTTTATAAGAATTTTATAAATATTGTTTTAAATAATTAGTTTTTTCGAAATATAATATTATGCAAATTTTATTTTAAATAACTGAATTTTTCGATTAATTAATTTAAAATAATATTAAAAATAATTGAAATTCTTCGATGAGTTCTATTTATGAAAATAATTAAATTCTTGCTTACAATTTTATCAAAAATTTTTATTAAATAATTGAATTTCCATAATTATTGTGAAGAATTGTATAAAAATTTTGTTAAACAATTGACTTTTTCGAAATCCTTTTGAAAATGCTATTCTTAATTAATTGAATTTTTGTGGAAATTTTATTATTTATAAAAAAAAATTGAATTTTGGATGATTTTTATCAATTTGTTTTTTAAATAATTGAATTCTTTTGTGAAATTTTATGAAAATATTAGATATTGAAAATAATTAAATTTTGAATATTTTTCGAAAATAATTGAATCGTTTTATGTTGTGGAAATTATCAAACAAAAAAACCAGAAGTAGTAGCTTTTAGTAGCTAAAATCTAAAAAATTACCCAAATAGTAGCATATGGTAAAAAAGTAGTAAATAGTAGGTTTTAGTAGATGTGTGCGAAGTCTGTATTTTTTAAAAATTAATATAAAATTCATAACAAGATTTAAAAAACCCACAAATATTAAACTCCAAACGATATTCGTTCAAATTTTCAAAAAACATCTGCCATATTGAATCCGCTATTTGTAATTTTTAAAATCTGACTTCATATTCGTCATCAGCGACGTTAAAAACCCACGAATATTTATTTTCGAATGATTGCATTAACATTTTTTTTTAATTTCTAAAAAACACCCTCGTATTAGATCCGTTATTTTGAAGTTTAAAAAACTGACTTTATATTCATAATCAGCGACCCAAAAACTTTAATATCTTTTACGTTAATAATTTCCATCGAAAATACATTTTATGCCAACTTTTTTTAACATTCTGACCCACTGAGCCACCTCTTCTATTTGAAATGTAATATGTAATGCGAATGTTGAGAGTGTATTTTTATATATTTAGCACAAAAATCAAATCTCGCATATTTTATAGCGCGAAATATTATTTTTGTTAAAATTAATAATATCCTTTATTATTATTTTTTCGAAGTTATAACTTGGTCAATATTTAATATATGTGATTAATAATTATGAATTAATCTAAGTCAGGCAAAAAAATAAAATATAATTTAATTTAAATCATTTAAAAATGATTAAAAATAAAAAATTATTAATCACATATAATATCCTTTATTATTTATCAGATCATAAAAATTTGAACTAGAAACACAAATATAACATTAGATTTTCAGAATTTGAAATGTTATTTAGTTTTTAAAATTATTGAATATGAATAAAACATCCAAATTTCCAAATTAAAAGTACCAAATTTTTGCCTTCTTTACTAATTCAGTTATTTTGAATTTTTAAAATCTAACTTTAGATTCAGCGAACTCAAATTTAGACAGAGAAATTAGTTAACATAAGACCCACTTTTTTTCACTTTAATTTTAATGACTACAGTTGCAGAACATTTATTTGCTTAGATCTGTTAATTAAATAAGCACTCAACTGGGAAGTGAATGAAGGATAATAATTGGACGATAAGATTTGTTAATTAAGACAAAAGAATAAAAGGTAAATATTGTCGATTAGAAAGAAATTGAAAATAAAAAACAAAATAAATTTTTAAACACATATGCCCTCATCTGAAGGATATAAAATTTACCTGATAAGGCACAGACCCCCCTTCAGCAGCATTTTGTTCCAAATTAGAAATTCTTGCGAAATTTTCTTCCAACTTCTCCTGAAGTTGTTCGCTTTCCATTTCGTCTGAGGTATCAATTGTTTCACCAAGTTCACGTCCTGCCATTGCATTGTCTTCAATTTTGCCATCCAGAGGCAAAATTATATCGCCATCGAGGGCCAACCTTAAGTTGAATCGTCCTCGGTCGTCAATACTATCATCACTGTCTGCCACAGGCGTAACGTCCGTATCAGTGATTCGAACCACCGGTGCCACCATGCTTACTACCGGCGGTGGTGGTGGCGGAGGTGGAGATGCAATTGGTTCGTACTCGTGCTCACTGCTGCGGGAAGACATGTTTTTTTACTTTATTGACTTAAATTATGTAATTAATTATTTGAGTTTTTATGATAATTAAAAACTAAGTAAATCTTTTGATTTGTTTAGGGTTATTGTGATCAGTAGTATTTTCGAATATGTAGAAATTATTTCAAGGACAATATTGTTTAATTGACCCCAAAACGTGGTCCATCGTTGGGGGTGCAGAGGCACGACTAAAATATATTAACACATCTCGGATTCAAATCTGGATTTATTCTCGGTAGTGTGGTGGACATGCGCTCTCGTCATCGCCATGAAAAGATAAAATCAGCTCTCGGCTACATAGTGCAGAACCACTGTCTATAGCTGGGCGCTGATTCTATCTATAGACAGACGAGCAATCTCGAAATAACCGCACAATATATAAACACCAACATGAAGTATGATATCTGTGGAGCAAATGAGAAGGAAAATGACACCAATAAAATTTCACCCATTATTTACTCAATTGTTAACAAAAATTTCTGAACTATCTAAGAGTATCAATAATCAATAATCCTTATATGAAAAGAGATATGCAAATTAGGTAAAGGAAGACATCCTTCTGGCATTCGTTTAAGAGGAAGAAAATACACTGTAATTTGAAAATTAATTAGACGAAGATAGTCTTGTCATTTTGAATTGAGATAGAGATGTACGATGAAGAAGTTCTTATTTATTATCCCTTGGTGTGAGAAAGAAAGATTTCAATTCCTGAGTAACACTTCAAGTTCCATACTTTTATCTATATTCTTCCATGCGATGAAGGGGGAAAGAAAATATTACCTGGGTTCTCGGAGTTAATCATCATTTACAAAGGCTATTGTTCAAGGGTTCGTATTGATTGTTCTTAACCTTCGTAGGGTCTAATGTAGGCAAATATATATATATATAGAACACTTTATTATGAATCAATTGACGTGCGAAGAGGACAAAACTATAAAATCAACTCACCATGGGCGGTGTACTCTTATATGAGATGATGGGGATTGCATCATCGACCTGGATGGTGGCCTGCCTACAAGAGTACAACGTTCAGGGAGAAGCGAATCACTCTGGTAAAACTGACAACCACATCGAACCTCGCGGCCGAGGCTGGAGGTGGAGGATGCTCGGAATGCACGACCTCGTTGCTCGTTTTCCATCCCCTTCTCACTTCTTCTTTTTATAGAGTCTGATCTCTCTCTCTCTCTTTCTGGACCGCGTTTTGATTGATATTTCTTTTCTAAAGTTTTATTTCTTAACAATAAGATGCTTTTCCTCTTTACCAGTCGCGAATACAACTCGAACCAAAGATCTGCCTCGCAGCCGAACTGATGAGCTAAAAGCGTCAGGAAAGCGAGAAAGAATCTAAATCAGGGGCGGATAGCTTATGTGAATACTCACCTGCAAATGAAAGGTCATATTCCATAAGTGGTTAAAATATTCACAAATGATACAGCATTGGCTGTATAGTCAAAATAGTATCAAGTTTGTTATTTATAACAAATTTATAACAAACATTGTTTTTAAAATTAAAGATAAACATTTATCACGTGGTGTTGGTATTACCAAACTTAAAATTAACTATATTAATTTTCGTATTCTTTCATTCATTCTGTCCGCAGTTTGAAGTTAGTTACTGTGTATACTTTTTTTTAAATATTGTTTGACAAATTGAAAATATTAGAAAATTTAAACAAAAATTATGATTAAATATTTAAATTTCTCCGAAATTTTTATTATTTATGAAAAGAATTAAATGTTTGCGTAGAATTTTATTAAAATTGTTTTTAAATAATTGAATTCTTTTGGGTAATTTTATTAAAATAGTAGATATTGAAAATCATCAAAATGAGAAAATTTTTTGAAATTGAAATTTTGACAAGAATTTTAATAAAGTTTTTAAAAATAATTGAATTTTGAAAAATAATTTTTTTAGTTATAAAGATAATAATTGAGATTTTGTCGAAATTTTTTTGTAAAATTTGGACAAAATTAAATTTTGCGATAAGAATTTTATTTTTTGAAAATAATTGAATTTTTGCAATCATTTGCAACTTCTTCAAAATTCCATTTTTTAGTGTTTTTAACTAAAATTCTTCTATAAATCCATTATTTTTAATAATTAATTAAATATATATTGACAAATTTAACTAATTTTAGAAGATTTTGAATTATTAAAATTTTTTAAAAATTAAAGTTCTTTAAAATTTTTTAATAAATTCATTCAACATTGAAATTTTATAAAATTTTAAATTTAAATTGTTTGAAGTTCATTTATTTATAAAAATTGTAAACGCAACTATTTTAAAATTAAATTAATTTTGAAATATTTAAGTAAAATTATTCATTAAATAATTTATTTATTTTATGATAGTTGTTCAAGATTTAAGTTATTTAAAAAGAAATTTTTGTCAGAAATTGTAAAAATTGAAGGTTTTGTATTAGAATTCGTAATTATTTTATAGTTTATGAGTCAAACAAAAAAAGGACAAAAATTCAGAATTTTCTTATGAATTCTAAAAATTTAATTTTATTCAGTACTTTAAATAAAAATTCCTGACTTTTCCCTAAATTCGCTATGCCAGAATATATGATTGTTAAAATTATAATAATATTAAAACTATATATCGAATTCATATTTTATTTTTATAAAAAATAATTTGAATTAAAAACTTTTACGTTCTATTATTTTTAAAATTGCTAATTTTATTTTAAAAAGTGAGTGAGAAGTCAGCCACGCGCGAATTGTGGCTAGTTTTTAACTAAATGTCATCTCTACATCAATTATTTTAAATAATTTTCCGAAAGTTCTTTTAGAATTCAATTACTTAAATGCAAAAACTCAATTCTTCATAATTTTTCACCAAACAATTCAAATTTTGTTAAATCTCTTAAAAGTAATTGAATTTTTTAAAAATATATAAATAGAAATAATCAAATTTTTGAAGAATTTTAATTATAAATATGATGACCATGGTTTCTCCGAAATCTTAATATATGTAAGTCTAAAAAAGTAAATTTTTATTTAATTTGTTCGAAGATAATTGAATTTTAAAAATTATGATAAAAGAATTCTGAAAATTACTTTTTAAAAATATTTTTATCTAATTTTTCGAAAATAATGAGTCATTCCATTATATTTCGACTAAAGTCGTTGCCGACTGATTTTAAAAAATTGTAATATTTTGCAGAAATGATTTTAAATGTATTAGGATCACTGAACAAAAAGAATTTTTTAAATATTTTTAATATTTATTGTAAAATAAGCATCTAAAGTATATGAGGTCGTAAAAGCTGTCACTTTTTCATCTATTAGAAAACATTTTAAAAAATACATAATTTATTATAAAAACGTAAAAAAATTATTGGAATTTATTAAGAATGATTTAGTCTATTATTAGAAATTAATAGAATCAATTTATTAATAATAAGAAATATTAAATGAAAAATGATTTTAAAGTTCACTTGGCAAATAACCTAATTTTGCAAATTTCATTCACTAAATGTGAGGAAGAGAAATCATTAAATTGAATAAATCCTTATCAAATATAAAGTACCTGTGATTGACTTTTAGTTTTTCTTATCACTTTCTTCCTTTTTTCTTCACAAATGTGAAAAAATAAGCACTTAAAAGTGGCATTTTGCTTATTTTTACGATTTTTAAATGTAAATAACTCCCTTTCAGAAAAATAAAAAATTACGAAAATTGGGCAATAATTAATTGATCACTAGATACAAACACTGGAAAAAGATTTTCTTTGGTCCAGAAGCTATTTTCCGAATTAATTAACTTTAAACTTTTTACTATTTTTATCAGGTTAATAAGTGTGATTTTTAAAGGACGAAGTTAGGTCTTCTTGTTTCATCATTTTGAACCAACTTCAGTTTTAAAAATATCACATATATATTAACCTGATAAAAATAGTAAAAAGTTATTGAATTAAAAACAATTCGAATCTAATTTTCATTTTTAAATTTATATTTAAAGATTTCTAAGATTGTAATGAAATACTTGAAAAAGTTAATTATTTTCAATTTAATTTTACAAAATTTGAATTATTTAAAACGATTTTTATTATAGATATCTTTGAAAAAATTAATTATCATCAAAAATTATTAAAAAATAATTTTTGAAAGATTTGTTTATAGTTATTTTTTGCACTATGAAAATCAAAATAATTTGCATTTTGTACTAAAAAATTAAACATTTTAAAAAAAAAATTTTTTTTAAATTCTCAATTAACCCTTTTCAAAAAAGTTCACCACAAATAATTCTAAAAACGACTTGTAAATAAAAACTTAAACTTATCTGATTTAAATATTTTCTTTTATACCTACAAATATATGTAACCGCAATATTTTTTTAGCGCATCTCGCAATATCAGTTTGACCCATTTCTGTTAAGTTTTCTGTAGATGTGATTTAATAAATGATAAATTACATTTCATCATTAGAAATTAAAATAACTCTTTTGACCGCGTTACTTTCTTAAAATAAGAACTTTTAATAATATAAATTTTTTTACAAAATTAAAGGTTCTTAATGCATTTTGCAATGTAATATTATACAAATCATTGTAATACAATATAGAATAATAAACAAAAAAAATTTGTTCGGAGAAAAGTTGGGAGCATTGTTCTACTGGAATACAATAAGAGAATTTTTTGAAGAAATTCAACCTTGCCTGTTTAGATAAATCATATACTATTTCTCTAGAAATTACAATTCTTTTACCACTTTTTGACAAACACCTTTTCTGAAAAAGTCGGAAATCATTTCATAAAAAATTAAGAGTTAGATAGATTTAAAAAAAAATTAATTAATTCTCCCTCTACCTTTCTTATCCTTGAAGGTTATTACATATACTTTGTTTTATCAAGATTCTAAAACAGAAAAACCATCCCAGTCTCACATAGAACCGAAACTTTGATACAAATCTATTAAAGATTTACTTGCAAACTTCAGAGTATTTTAATTGCAAAATTTAGTGACAATTGTATAAAGATTTAAATATCCCACTTCAATAATAATTGTTTATCGTGAAACTTTCCTGAAAATTTGAACTAAATTTTCGCCTAAATCTATATTTAAACGAAAATGTAATTTAAATGTTCAGGAAAGTCCCACGTTAAAAATTTATTGAAGAGGGACATTTAAATATTTACACAAATGTCACCAAATTTAAAATAATTCAAATTTTGTAAGTAAATCTTTAATAAATTTTTAGAAAAGTTTCAGTGCTGTATAGGTTATTAGAGAAAAATTGACGGCGGCTGATACGGAACTTGTGTAACCGCGAGGACAGAAAACTAGTCTGTTTCCTTTGAGTTGAAGAAACGTGTTAACTATTTCACCATAAGATAAATCTAAAAGCAAACAAGTCTTATTAGTTGAAACTGATACGCACTGGATTCTTTAGAAAATACTTTAAAAACACATTATAAAAAAGTAATTAAAAAATTATGTCTAACGGACGTTTCAAGTATACTTAAAAATAACTTAAGAAAAAATTCCATTATACTGAAAATATTTTCATTTCGAAATTTTTCAAAATCTTCTTCTTCCAAATTTTTTTAAGGGGTCAGAATTTCTCAAACGGATCACCTAAAACTAAAAAATTTTCTTTTTTAACCAAAATATTTTTTTTTGACGCTTAATATGGCTAAGAAGAATCCCTGAAAATATTAAGTCAAAAAAAAATTTTTTGTAAAAGTTATTAACAATTGAATTTTTTAGTACTGCTAAATTAACAAATTTTTTCTCGAGTTCCAGTTGACGGATTTTAAAATTAAAATATGGGTTTTTTTCGTCTTGAATTGCACTATTTGAATATATTTTTTGTTTTTAAATTTTTTATAATTTTTTATATAATTTGTTTATAAAATGTTAATAAACAAATATGTTCTTCACGTCCTAACAAAAAAATTAAAATTGTATTCTATTCCTTAAATGTCTCCAAGTGTAAAACCGTTTCGAAAAAAAATGAACCTCAATTAGAAAAAAAGTTATTAATTAAAAACTGCAGCTGTGTAGAGCTTTACATGACGTTAAACTCGCCCCGCGCACATTAGCATTTTTTACAATTTACTGTTTAAAATTGTCTGTAACCTACAAATTTTATCGGATTTTTATGGGCTTGGTCTTAAATTAAAGGAGATAAAATTTCTAAGATATCCCACTAAACCAATTTTTGAATTTTAAATTGTTTATATTTTTTTTGTTACTCAAAGTTAACAATGTACAATATTTTTAGAAAAAATCATTTTAATTTTTTTATTTTTTCATTGCAGATGATTGGAATCAATATAAATTAGTCTAGCATGACCACCAG